CCACCAATCAATTGATGGCACTGGGCGTTTGGTGCCCTGCATCCATCAATCCATTCAATATTGTCCCTTGACAACCAAACCAGGCACAAACTTGCCAGTCAAGTCTCACACGCCCTCGCTTCAACGAGACGTTGTTTTCGGCCATCACCCCGAAGACATGTCATGTGCATCATCTTCCCGGATACGGGCACGACTCCACCAAATGACATCTGTCCTTGCAGCTCAAAATACCAGAGAGCGCCAACGAAAACACCGTCCCCTGTCTCAACTGCCATGCATATCCGTGACGGATAAGTGAATTGACAGCCTCTTATTTTTTCCGTCATTCCTGTAACTCTAACCTTTTTGCAGCCATGACCATCACCCTTCTCTGATATGCTCGCCATTTCGCAGCTTTCGCAATTCTTTCTGAAGGACGCCGGTTTCGCAATCCCTTGTTTCGAACCCGTCAGCATGACCCCGGCCTTTTCAAGCTTCTCCATCGCATCCTTCATTTTATACAATCCCGATGCGAGAGAGCGCCAAGTGTCATCCTATTGAGGACAGTAATAAATCCCCTGCAGAGTTAACTTAGACTGAAATGTTTGTTGCCGAAGTGTTGTATCGATCAATCACGACGGCTATGGCACGCTTCTTCGTCTGGACCTCTTTGCTCGCTGAGTTTTTTCATAGCATCTGTAAGGAGAACCGCCCCTCCATTGACGCACCACCGTGAAGATGGCAGGTGCTTGCCCGAGTCGAGCGCCGTGCCGAACGATCCGCTAGAGGTATTTTGAATCTCCGTCCATCGGAGAGCAGAAAGATTGTACTTGAGTCCAGTGCCTTCCGGACCGCCATGACGGGAAAAGCCCTGAGTACTGGAATTGTCAGCCCCCAGGCGCTGTTGGAGCCCCCTTTTGAGATCTCTTTTGAGGCACTCCTTGTGTGGGACAAATTCGACCTTGACAAATTTATTTGCTCGGCGGGCTTGTTCTTTTTGCTAGGTGCGCTTATGTTTTAATACCTAGAACTTTAAGTACTTTATAATAAAGTTTATTTATTTGTTTTAAAATATATATAAAGATATTTACTTACTTAATAACCAGGTACTGGGTAGAGCGTGAGCGCACCTAGCAAAAAGAGTAAGCCCGCCGAGCAATTCACCTTAACAAGCCCATCAAATCGAGCAACAACCTTATCCGGCACGCAGCTACGCCGGCCCGGCCGACATGGTAAGGGTCCGGTGTGTCGCTGCCATAAAGTCTTGTTGAAAGACTTGGGGCACACTTCTCCCCCGTCAAGGTGGTTGGGAATTGCAACGTCTTCAAGACAATTGCAAGTAAAGTCCCGCCACACCAGCCCCGATAATCCAAAGCATATATATAAGCTTCCTCCTTATTTTCTGGAGCATTCATCATGGCATTTTTAACACCTCTTCAGCAACCGAGCGTTCCCGGTTTCTGGTCGAGACTTGGTTTATCTCGTCATTGAAAAGGAAATCAGCAGGTAAATCATCCAATGTATATGAATTGTTGCCGACGCAAGCTCGAGCATGGAGGTTTTCGAATCCTTGCCACTCTAGGTAAATAGGGGGGCGACTTGGTGTGCATAACTTCTTAGCAGCTGACGCGTAGGGACACAAGTCTCTACAAAGAAGTTCGACCATGTTTTCTCTTCAGCCATGGCCGCAAAACGTTGATATATTACTTGTCCCCGTATCATGTCGAATTGAATCCGCCCACGCGCGCATTATCAAGTCGTGTACGCATGTCAGTTTCCTCTTTATGCCTGCTCTGTATCCGACTGTTGAGGCGACATGGCGGTGATGTTCCCACAAAACGTAATACGACAACTGAGACATAATCTAATGCTTGTCATGAAGTTAATTGGGCGTGGTGGACTATGCCGTACTGTGACAAGGGCTCATAGAGGGCTTGGAGTCGATAGCTCAATTCATCTAATAACAGTCTTTGGTATCAAAGGTCTTTGGTTTACAAGAGGAAGGCAGGGAACAGTGCCCACTATATATACAAGAAGGGAGCCTGTGTGCCTAGAGCTCTTGCCCGGGCAGGTGTTCAATCTGTGTAACCAACAGGTCCTTTGTCGGTGAAGCCCCTTTATTGGGCTTCACGAGCTATTGGACCTTTTCCGTGCAACACGTCCGCAGAGGCAAGGTGATGGATAGTGAAACACCAGGAGCAAATTATGACGGTCGTGACCTCCAACTCTAGAGTGCAGACTCACAGCTCCCACGGCTTCAATTAATTTCAGCGAAATTAGATTAATACGGCGGGTGTCTGCCCAGACTACCAGTGGCCGTCTCGCCCTCACATTCTAGTATGCCTCGTGTGTGTCGACGTGGGTGACGAAAGGCGCCTCGGACAAAAACAAACAGCTAGCGCAATAAATATCATTATTTCAATAAACATTACTAGTTTGAGGATAAGTAGTGCGCGGTTTATGCAAATTCTGAACCATGTACACTAAGCTCTAGCGGCTATATACCGTCTTTTATGCATCCCAGTTTTAGATTTAAGCTATTTGCTCCGATAGGCAAGGCCTCCCTGCACCCTTGGACAGATCGGCAGAGGGGCTCTTGACAAGACGGCGAGTCAGTAGACCGCTGCACTCGGTTGCATTGCAGGCGGGGAAGGAATTTTATGGTGTTGTGCTGGACCCGGGCATCGGATTCACACCATGTCGTCCACGAAGCCGGGCAATCCTAGGTCGGCAGCGGGCCAGACGCCTATGACGTAGTCTACTAGATTTGCTTGAAGAAAATAATGATAAAAATAATAGTATGGAGAAAGAATTAATGAAGCCAGATAGCAGAGCTTTCTTTCTAGTTAAATTTCTTTGGTATAAATAAATATACAATTTTCGATTCTTTACATATAAATACGTATGTATATATAGATTACCTTCTACATGAATGTATTCTATCTTCTGTTTTATTGGGGCAGATACAGACCGCAAAAAGCTTGGTATTGGCGCTTGGATTCACAGCCATATTAGAACCATGCTCTTCCGAGTTCTTGGTCTGACTGCGGCCCGCCCGAGGTGCTACCTCGGCGAGATTCTGACTAGTGCTAAGTTTCCTGCAGGGCAAATTTTGACAAAATTTTAGGATGGCATAAGATGCTCATCTGGGTCCGACCTGCCGACAGTCTCCTTGCCACCCATGTCCGTTCTTTTAGATGGATTCAGGATCCCGCGTGGTGAGAACGTTGTGGCGTGATGACAGCTGGCTTGTCGATGGCAACGAGAGAAACTCGCCTAGCGCGCTTACGACTGCGCTTTATCCCGACTGGGTGCGTCAACTGTTCCTGTAGCGTTTACTAGACGCGCCGACGGCCCGCGACGTCCCTACCCGCGCGGCCTACTCGCCGTCTCCTCCACTTTTTCGGATCACGACTTCACATGACCGATTCTACCTGCGTGCTATCGGGATGGGCTGAAGCGCCAGGTGGCCGGTCCAAGTCTCTCGTCTACCCGCAGTTTGCATCGGGCGGGACGATTCGCCCTTTGAGAGCGGATATTCTTGCGACCGGGTGCCGTTAGCAACGCAGATATCAAGGCGGGGATTGTGTCGCTGTCACCGATAGCAAGACCCCGATCAGTGGTAAAGGTTTGTCCGAGCCGGACATGGGGGAAGCGAGTTTCTCGGCTAATGGGAGTGACTCCGGCGCCGGCAGCCAAGGGAGCACCGTGGGAACTTATATCACGTTAGGGAGTGCGAACTAGAGTGTTTCCCAGCCAGATAAGAACCGGAGAAATTTAAGATTGCCGGTGAAATTTGAGACTCGCTGGTATCGATACCGCCCGTGGCAGCCAACGTTTCCCGACACAGCGGACCTTACTACTGAGTAGAACTCAATTATCACTGTACAGAGTAGAACTTGTATGCTACGCGCCAAGCCGATGCAAATTGTTAAAAGATACCCATAGGACAAACAAAAGCCCAGGTTAGATTACACTTTCTCAATGGAAGCAAGTAATTCAAAGGAACCATCATGAAAGGAACATGGTAAGATCATACTAAGATGGCTGAATAAGCAGCAAAAACCTCCGATGTACATGCGACACACCCAACACACCAGAAGTTCCTCCATTGTCCAATCTTTCATGTCTGTTCACTCTTTGACAAATCCCCCTTCAAAGGAAATGACAGGCACTCTTTACGCTGCAGCCCTGTAACCTCTCAGCCACTTTGTGCTCGCCGGTACCAAGTAGCGCCTCATGTTTCGAGGACCTCGGCCATGTGTTTGCATTCAAGGACATGGCAGCCTGCATCCTACGCTCATGAGTTATCTCGGGCGCACTTTTCCCCAAGGTCCAGACGATGAGCTACGTCGATATTGCAGAGGCAGAGACAGGCAAGATGTAACGAGATGCAAATATCCCCTGTCGCCGGATCCAGAAAACACATCACCTACAAAGGCAGACGAAATGCTGTGGGCGCCAACCAGTTGAACGTGTCCATGGCCAAGATTGCACAAAGAGAAACAAGCTTACCGTCATGGCATCAAACCCACGCCCCTGTACCTTTTGCTTCCCCGCGTCTATGTTGTAAGCATCACGTTACAAGTTGGCATTCCCTAGTTCTACAAAGTAAACGGGTCACTGCTTGGCCTTGTTTGTCTTCTCGACTGCTCATCAAGCTGTTCACAAATCTGGCAAGATCATGATGGGAATCCCTCGTTGTCAATTTGAGTAGAGAGTGCGTAACTAGTTCGGTAGAGACTGACTGGTGAAGAAAAAAGAAAAAGAAAAACATCGGTTAACCATTGATGAAAACTTGCGCATTGTATCCAACCCGCGGGCCTGTGACCCGTCGTCAAATCCTGATAGTCCATCCTTGGGCGCTTGTCCGCGCGTAGTTGCAGATGCCATTGCTGGCGCTTCTGCCCTCGATCTCGTCGTCGTGTCCGTCATTGTTGGTTATAGAGCTGACCACCTGTGGCTCCCCTCACACATGTTTCTTTTTATGCTCGGTTGGCGTTGCTTCAATTGACGCAATCTCAGTGTCGGCTTGATTTGGCCATTTCATGACGATCAGCCCTGTCGAACCACTGAACTTGCTGGGGCGATAGCACCACGGTTTCCCCGTCGGTGAACTCGTCCTCGTCGGGCTGCTCAGCATTGCTGGACCGCTTGGGTTTTCCGCCACGCGCTGGCTTTTGCGATGAAGTGTCGGATGCCACTGGAGGCAATACCCGTGAATTCTTGTTCTGCATCCAGGCCGAAACTTTCTCTTTAAGATCATACATATGAAATTCGTCTGCGATTTCGCCCAGCTTGACCATGATGGGAATATCTAATTCGATGTGTAATGGCTGCCACAGAAGCCTCTCTTTCGCCCTCGGATTAAAGACGCAGTCGTCCACGTGCTGAGATGTATTCTGTCCAAGTACGTAATTGCAAAACACCACACCGACGCGGATGTCAACATTCCCAAGGCAAAGGCTGGATACAACGTTATCCTAGAACTCATCAGTATACACTTCATGCTCAGGGATGTCCTCCTTGACGAACCTTTTGACGGAAGTTGTAGCTCTTCATTGCCTCCTTACACGTCCAATCGTCCCGATCGAACCACCAGACAGGTAACTCTTTCACTCGAATCTTGCCGCAGAAGATGGGTGCACTGGGGGGGCGGCGGAGGTGGCGGGCAATTGCTGGGAATGGGCGGCGGAGGACGGCCCTGGACAGCGGCTGGCTGACTCTGCTGGCCTTTCTGCATCGGCATGGTGTAGTGCTTGGAATTAAGGTGATGAAGGCGGTGAAGGTGGTGAAGGTGATGAAGGTGATGAAGGTGTTGAAGGTCAACAGTTGAAGATGTTGAAGGCGATGAAGATGAGGAAAGAAATTAGAGCACTTTCACGGAATGAGCGACGTCTTATATAGATAAATTCTTGCTCCATGGGATACTGAACTCGATATTCCACGCAATACGGCACGTCAGAGTGTTGAGCACGTTCACAACGCGTTTCAAGCAGCTCAAAGATGGGTGTAAGACGGCCTGCATATCCCTAAACACACCAAGAATAGCACACAACCAACCCAGCTTCTGTGTCCGCCTTGTTCATCCATCATGTCGGTCCGAAATGATGCAATTCCACGCCACGGGATCCCCAAAATCGAATATGCTCGAGCTGTGCTTACCCATAGCCGCATCGACATGTCCACATGAGCCATCCCAAGCTCCCTGGCCAGACGCCTTTAACCCGTCCTTTCCATTGTTCGTCTTTTGTTGCTAAATCGTACAAACTGAGTTCATGTCCTCTACACGTCGAAAATGTCACCGATACCCTCGCCCCCACCCCTCCTAATGTCGACAATGTCTAGCCTCCAGCCCTCCCAGTGCTTCAAAGTTCGCTTGATCTCTTTGATCCTCTCCAGTCGCTGTTTTGACTCCTCCTCTTGGGCCTTGCGGAAGGCATCCTCGTCAAAGTCAAAGTCGTCGTCATCCATCAGCTCGTGTTCAGCACCTGCTCCTGCTCCTCCAACACCACCACCAGCTAAGGCGTTAAGCCCGTTGGTCAAGAACTCACCGAAACCACTAGTCGAGTGTTTTCTTTGTGACGAGTGTCCCATCGAGCCTCCGGAAAGATCCACGTCATGGAAGCCGGTGTTGGTGACCTCCATTTCCCGGCGTTTCTCGATCCATGCCCCGCTTCGCAGTTCGTGCACTTCGTGTTCAAGGCTTCGAATCTTCTTTTCGAGTCGTAATCGTTCCTCGTTCTCAAGCTCGTCCACGCCCTCGTCATCAAGTCCGCCACCGCCGTCTGCCGACTTGCGGCTGCGAAGTTTCAGATTTTCGCTCTCCAGCTTCTCCACCTTGGCTTTCAGGTCCTTTGCATCCTTTTCGGCACGCTCCTTGTCCTTTCGCAAGGCTTGGGACCTGGAGTCCTGCTCCTTGTGGATGGTGGTCAGTGTGGCCACCTTCTTCTCCAACGCGTCAATCTTGACCTCCATGTCAGACTTGGCCTTTGTTGCTTCCTCCAGCTCGTGTTCAAGCGTCTTGACTTTGACCTCTGCGCTTGAACGTTCACTGCCCTCGCGGACTGCTTTATCCGTTGTTCTCTCGAGATTGCGTTTCACATCCTGCAATTCTCGCTGTGCCTTGCCTGCAGCTGCTTCGGCCCGAGCAAGCTTGTCTTCAAGCGCATTTACTTGTTCTTTTTCTGTTTCGGCGCCAGTTTCTTGTCGCTGCACCCGAGCTTTCAAAGTGGAGATTTCAATTTCCATGGACTCGATGGTGGACTTCTTCGTGTCGAGTTCGGCCTGCAGCTCTGAAGGGGGGGTAGCAATAGAAACCGAGGGCCGATGGCCATGGCCCGAGCCTCTCGAGACTTGTTGCTGCAATTGCGTGTTTTGTCGTTGAAGTGAAGCAACTTCGCTTTTCTGTATCAGTCTGTCAGCCTCATATGATGCCCGCCCCTCGTTGAGGCAACCCACTCACCAACTGCTCCGTTTCATTATTCGCTTTGCCCTTCGCTGAAGAATCACCATCGGCTTCACGGAGCTCAGCGAGCTCATCCTCCGCCTTCTTCCATCGTTTTTCCGAATCTGAGAACTCTTTGGATAGTTTCCTATTCTCCTTCTCCAGCTCCTCGATGCGAGCGACCTGCTTTCTGTAAATCTCTGGCGCGGTGTCACCATCGGGGCTGAAAGGGACTGGAGAAGTGGTTCCAGCCGCACCGGCACGGAACGATGTTGATCTCATCTTCGACTGTTGTGCCAGCGATGGAGTTTCCGACGGTGATTGGTCGTCTGCCTTTTCGTCTTCAACCGCCTTATCGTTGCCTGCGGCGGCTTCCCCTCCCTTATCTTCGGCCGGATCTGCGGAAGGCAGTTCGGACGATTCAGCCTGCTCTTCAGCATTTGGCGACGCGGTTTCGGGGACCTCGTCTTCTTCTTTGGCGTCGTCTTTCTTGGCAGTCTTTTTGCCCTTCTTCTTCTTCATTTGTTCGACCTATACGCGCAATTAGAAGCTATGGGAGCTGGGGCCGGAGCAGGGGACCAGTATGCTTACGCGCTTTCTCGCTGCGGCGATCTTTTCCTGGCGCGCCTTTTCCTCTGCGTCGGCCATTTTGAATGCTAATCGGCGTGCTGGGAATCAATTCTGTGCGCGAAATATAGCTTCTCGAGTTCAAAGGTCGGTGCAGGAGGATGATTGCCTTAAAAGTTATGGATGGGGAATGAAGCTGCCGACAGTTGAGGAGGCCGGATCCGGATAGGTGGCCACAGCTTGGCCTGCTCACTAGTATTCGCGGCACGCAGCGACGTCAGCAGGCACTCAGAGGTGCATGTGGAGCTAGTCCGCTCCAGGATCGACGACAACAGAATGTCGACATTGAAAAAAACACAGGCTTGGCTCGTGAACGAAATTTAATGTTTATCGCGCCGATTCAACTTGATTCATAATGCCGCGTGGCACTATCGACGAAGCGAAGCGGCAGCCTGTTAATCTGGCACCCGCCCAGGTCGCTCCTGCCTTCACGTGCTGCTCAGACCACAGCGCAGAGTCATCGAGGACAAAAGGGTCTTAGGCCAGCCATGGTGCAAACATTCGCAGTGCATCACAAGCGGACTACACGCCATCATCATGCCTCGTCAACCTGACTCTCAGCTTCTATGTGGAGAGTCTGAGTTGTATCATCTCCATCTTTAAGAGCATGAACTGGACAGAAGGAGCGCGTGCCCGGGCCCCGAAGAATAGAAGAGACGAGGAGCTGTCGCGGCAACAAGAGTTTTTTGCCAAAGCTCGGAGGCGGCATGCTGCAGAAGCCAAATCAACAGAGGTTGCACGTCGTCATCAGAGCCAAGCCGCTGTGATCTTTGACATAGAGGATCGGCGAAACACTGCAGAAACCCTGACCCAAGAACGTGATAGGACAAGACGGCATTCAGCTCAGAAGAGGCCTCGGAATGGTTCAACGGCGAGCCCATCACCGCGAATAACTCCCGCTATCAACTCGCCGGCACAGCAGGAGAGGGCTCTTTCGCCGCGCAATGCAAACGAGGTCAATGTACCCACTGGTGCTGCCGATATCAAAGCCAAGAAGCAGAGACTGCTGAGAAAAGACGACTGGACAGGAATATCCCTTCAGAAATCCCTTACCATAGATTACCCGCAACCTACAAAGATGCAACACGGTAGTTTACGGCGAAACCCACGCAAAGCTGTTAATTTTGAAGCAGCCAGGGTAACATCTACCAAGTCGAAAGCTGGCGACATTCGGGTCTGCGTTGGGAGTCAGAATTTCAGATAGAGTCAGGATGGCAACTCCCTCAGGAGCCTCAAAGGTTCTCAATACCAGCCATCCACTATGTCTTCACAAGCATCTCAAAGACAAGGTGTAGGCAAAGCTCTATTATCCGGAAGACTTGGAAGCTACCACAACCCACCAGCTATTGCAGAACTATCTGTGCCGGCTCATTCATCCAGCCTGAGCAACCGGTCTAGCGGCTCCAGGAGTCTGCAGCGTTTGTGGTGGTCGGATCAATCCTGCAGCACAACCAGTTCATTACCTCGCGAAGACGGCTCTCCCCAGTCGCTATACCACCCACGCCCACAGCGGTCGGTTAATATATCAAACCTTCTCCATGCAAAATCTCCTCGTCCAGAATCGGTGTCTACTGTGAGAGCGCAGAACGGCAGCCAGTGCACATTAGACATGTTTCCATCTGTCGACATTGGGCGAAGTGTTGACGGATTCAACTATGGATATGATAATTCTTTAGGTATTAGCCTGCCTCGAAATTCGCCCAAGTGCGGAAAGCGTCCTGAGCAGCGCAACGCTGAACTAAGACATATGAATCCCCCATATACAGACCATGATCCTCAAGTACCTGCAGTGGCCCCAAGAGGATTGGACGCAGACGGCGAGCTCGTCCATGCAGGAACAAGGTATCCGTATTTCCTCTCCGCAAATGAGCAACCCTATCCGAAAACATTAGCAGCATGCGGCTCTTCAGCATCGATATGCCACCCCTCCCCCTCCAGTAGATTGACAGACGACAACCTCCTGTCCATAGCACTACCTAGCAGGCTCAACACACAAGACCTCGTGGACATCCTACAAGAATCCAACACATACAAACAGCATCGCAATCAAGGCAGTACTATCCTCAGCAACCTGCCAGCTCACCCGCATCTGACACAAGACATTGGCGGCATCGAAACAGCATGCCGAAATCCTCTCGAGAGTTCCAGACCAAGCATCCCAGACCCAATGGCCACCAACGCAGCACAATACCTGTCATCGGCCCCCAAAACACCAAACACCAAGCCATATCTCATCCATCCATCATCCACCAAACGAAAATCTCCATCGGCCGACACCCACCATCCAGCGCTAAAGCCGGCTATATCCAAACCCGACGTCGTATACCGCCAGCCCCAACCCTTCGTCGGCAAGCTAGCCTCCTCCGAGACACAGCATGCGCCAATGTATGCAGCGCAATTGTTGACCAGCCGTGCGCGAAAACGAACGTCGAATCGCCCTGATATTCGGGCATTGCCAAATCACGACCAGGATCCAATCGAGTGATTTCGTCGTGTCACTGTGCTTCCCCCAGTTGCATGGATGCCAGGTCAGGGGGGGAGAGGGGAGGGAAGGGAAATTGATGAAATCACAGCGTTATCCACCGGAGCGGACCGCATCCACATGATCTATCATATCATAGCGTCTTCGCAGCATAAACTCAATCATTATCAGTTCCGATCTGCCTCAGGTCCATCCAGTAGATCAGTCCAGTTCGTGTCATGCCTGAATGCCTGACAAGGCTGGTGCGAACAAGCACAGCCCCGACAGGCTAGCCTGCCCATGCGCCCCACAACACCGCCCCCCTCAACCTTCTAGAAGAACTTCAATGTTCCTTGCCCCTTCCCAAACCTTCGGGCGCGGTCCACATCGCATGAGATCCAGAGAAACATCTTCTCTTTTTTTTTCTTGCTGCGGTGGCGGTGTGCATCACGCTGGCAAACGGGACAACTGCGATTGAACGCGAGGTGGCCGGTCCCTGGGTTCCGGCAAACCAGTCCCCACGATGCTTGATGCAAGCCTGGTTTCGGTAAGTGTAAAAAAGGTGCCTAGAGGGGTGCCTTGACTCGGCAGTGTCTACTGGTGGGAGTGTGTCTTGGTGGCACACCACCAGGCATGTCAGATGGTCTTTTGTCTCGGTTTTTGTTGGTGCCATGTGTATATTGGTGATTCATGACTTGATACGGCTGGTGAAAAGTCGACTCATGAAGTGCATCTTATCACGATGCGTTTGGATGCCTACCTTGAAGAAGACGGGTGAATATGGCCATTGAGTCACATTTTTTGCGGCGGAGATTGTGCAGTATATTTATGTATTGTATGTATACGTCGTGCTCATTTATTCGTAGACCTTCTCTCATTCCTACTTGTGCACCATGGCGGAGCCCCAGGCTGCCTCGCGACGTATATACATTGGTATCTATTTTATTGGAGGGGGTTGTGTGACACAAAACTGGCCAGCAATTTTGATGGTCACATTCGAGCCGCTCTAAAGCGATCGAGCCAGCCTCATCGAGGTTGCAAACCAGGGCAGGCTAATTATTGATGAAAACAGCGCGCAAAAGTGTATCCGCAAAAGACCGAGATAATGGGTGCCATTAGCTTCTGCGACGAGCCTCCTTACGCTTCGGTTGACACGTAGTCTTGCAGTGGGGGCACTCGTAGCCGTCTTGGTCAATATAGATTCTCTTGAGGCACTTTGAGCATCGCCACCAGGTTGATGAGACTCGTCGGTCTTCCAGCCACTCCTCGTTGATGGAGCCGCCGCGCTTCTCAATGTCTTCCTTGTGGAATTCACGAAGATGATCGCGGAAGTGGTCTAATCGATGGAACGGATCGCGACGGCGAGAGCACCGTGGGTAGTCGCAGTTGAACGAGACCTTTTGTGACTCTGAGGCGTGTCGGTGCTTGTAGTGGCGGTCTAGGTCTGCTCTGCGTTTGAAGGGTTTGGCGTTACACCCTGGATATAGGCAACAGACGGGGTAGTCACGGCCGCTTTGTGATCTGTACAGTTAGCATTCAGGACTGGAATTGAGGACCAGGAATATGACGCACGATGGCTTGGACCCCCGGTCTTCGGGTGACGGTCGCGGAGAAGGAGTGTCTCGGTCGATATCCAGATTAGGGGAAGAATAATATAATGCCGTTACGGCCGAGGACGGGCTCAACTGATGGTGATTGGGGCTAGGAAAACTTCCTGTTGACGATGGACTCTGGAAACTAGGATGCAATCCGTTGAGCATCGGCGACACAGACATCGGAGAATCATAAACACTCCCGCTTTCGGAGCGACAGGTACGTGATGAAGAATCCGCTTGGTCAAACTGTTGCGTTGCCCGTGATGAAACCTCGCTCTGCGGCATGTATGGCGAACTCGTATCATAATATTGCCCAAATGAATATTCCAAGTGTTGAATATTTAAGCCCTGAGCAGTATCCATATCGAGTGATCCTGGAGACGCCCGGTCGACTTTACTGTACACGATGGTGCTGTCTCTGTTTCCTGGTGTAAAGAATATACCCGGTCACGAGACGGAGTTGTCGACGGAATAACTATTCGGAGAACAGAAATCCGTCGAAACCAGGCTGTCTCGAGAGATTTAAACTGAACTTATGAACAACAAATCACCCTTGCGTTACCAATCCGGAGAGGAGAAGGACTGAAGAGTTCCAATGTAAGAGTAAGAGTTCTCCGAGTTGACTTTTAAATCTGCGTTTTGTTCAAAAGGGGGAAGGGACTTCCTAGGGCTGACCAACGACGGGTGGTTAAAGTGATCAATGAAAAGGACACAATGGGCTTAAGTAACAACAATTCTGCGAGGGTAGAAGAGCCAAAACGAAGCGTCAAAGGAAAGCAAGGGCTTTCTAGAATGTGGAACCCTGTTCAGGGGATGTCTATGTATGTATGTACGGAGTATGTAGATATGATGTGGACGGGCATGATGAACAAGGGGACATTTAAGGCTGTGACCCGGCCGAGTGGGAATCAGGGTCAGAGGCCAACAGGCCATGTCGATGGAGACGAGATTCGAAAATGATGTGAGCAATATGGATCCCGTCTTATGGTTTCAATGTGAGTCAAACGCTCTTTCCTGGTGCGGAGACGCAATGCCACGGCACAAACCACAGAACACATCCCAAGTTGACCAGAGCAGAAAGGGTCAATGTAAGAGCTCCCGCTGGCAGACTTCTAGGCTGCCGTCTGGAGGAGCCAGTTAGGGTGATAGGGCAGGAGAGCGTGGCTGCGTGGTCCAGTGCAAGGATGCTTGGGATGCAAAGGCAGGGCCAGGGCCCCTTCAAGAGTGAGGCTAAGCCAGCCCAGATACTGGTCAATACTTGACGACAAGATGCAGCAATGCTCTCGATTCGGAATCGTCCAAAGGAAACATGGCTGCAGCCCCGAGACGAGAGCGCATGGGCTGGTGGGCCAATAAACGGCTGGGGCCAACGCTGTTAGCCTTACGGGTCATCTTAGGGCTGACGAACCGAGGGCCGTCCATGACCAAGATATGGGGAGTGTTTGACAGCCGCTTTTCCGACCATGATAAACCATTGGCAGGCGTGCATCACTGAGAGAAGAGTCGGAAATGAACTGCGGAGATCCCGTCCGACCAAGGGACCTTCAACACGAGTTTCCTGGCTCTGGGAACACCACGTTGTCCATGTAGCCAAATCATTCAGTTCGTTGTCTGGTGAAGGATCAGTACAGGCATAAACAAGACCCGTGTTTGTACCAAAGCTCTCTATCCCGAGGAGGTGACCGCTGGCGGCCGACCTTGGTAGGTAGGCGTAATGTTCAGCCAACGGTTCGGGCAAGCAGTGCACCACAAGCGACTACATGGGTACCTAACAGTAGGTAATTCCCAGTGCCAAGGCGGAGTTTCCGAGCCAGACAGTTGATGAGTGAACTTGGAGGGTGACAAAAGCGAACCCCCCTCCAGATTGATAGCAGAATTGTGTGAGCATAGCTGGCAGGTTTGAGACGGTCAGTGACTTGTCAGAAGCTATCTAGAGTGGGTGGGAAACGGCGGGTACAGTAGGCTCTAGGAGGGAGACGACAAACACTGAACAGTGCCTGCTCTGATAAGGCTTCCGCTTATGGAGTGATATCACCGCCTTGAGTACCGTGATAATATGCCATAGACCTGTCGACAAGCCTCTCTCTGTACGCGGCCTCTTCTCATCTCCCGACTACCACCACCCGCAGCGTAAAACAGGCCGTAGCTTGTTTGAGTGCGACAGTGTGATCTTGTGCAAGGCTCTGCTGTCGTCATTGTTCCTCTGCCGCTTGGGAACAGTGGATCGATCTATGCAGGTCATGTCCACAAGAATGTTGAGCGCGGCTGTTGTAGTGGGTTTCGATACGGCGGTCTGTGTGAAACAAACGCAGTCCTCACCAAAATGTAGTTTTAACGAGGTAGACGAGTTGAAAGGAGACTAGTTACGGCCATGAACGAAGGCAAATTCGTAGTGCTTCGAACCCATTTCGTGGGGTCCGTTTTTGGTCTCATTCCCTCTCAGAACGGCGACTATGATCGACACGGCTCCCAGTCGACGTGTTGGTACCCCGTACATTGCGTTTCTCTGCATCGTCAGCCACTGCCGTGGTATGTCTACCAAGTACCACACATGGGCAAGGACATGGATGAGGCATTGAGAGGGGGGGTGCCAAACCCGGACGGGCTACCTACCTAGGTACCAATCTGCATGCTCCGTACGAGTATATCCTGAAGAGAAATCAGTGAGCCTGGCGATGTGCCTGGCCAATGCGGTCGCCAAATGGGCCGACGCCATCGGTGCGACCGTCGCAGCTCACCCCCCAAGACCTCGCAGAGCCGCAGCCCTGGGTCTTGTCGGCGTCAGCCGTGGAAAGTGTCGTTTAGATGAGTACAGGGGCTTTTTGGCGGAGACGAGGAGATTATTGGGACCATTAACGGTAGATGATGCAAACCATGTCGTTTATCGCAAGGCTCCTTGCAATCATGTGTTCGCAGGTGAACCGTCCGGTGCGGATTGTGCACGTGAGCCAATTGATTGATAGGCACCTGCTGCCAAGCAAGGAAGTCAGCACCGGCTGACGACAGCAAACCCGCCGTGCCTGCTCTGCTCTTGCCTGCTCTTGCCTGCTCTAATTAGAGAGGAAGGAAGGAGCACTCTGGTCTGGATGTGCTCTTGCCCCGAGTTATGGTTTTGTCCGGTCCCCTCTGCCACACCCAACCTTGACGAGATGGCTGCGCGTCCACATTACACAACCCAGCCCCATCCCCAGCTACCCTGAACTTGCCTACTGAGGCATTCGGACAAGCATTTTACGCCACAAAAATGCTTGGCCCATGTGAGTCAGGTTGCTCGGAGGAACTATTACTGTATACATTCTCGGAATTTACGTTTAGTCTGTGCGATTATTTCAGCGCGAGCTTCCCTCGTTTGCCGATCACAGTGCCGTGGCGCCTAACTTGATACTTCTGCCGATCCAGGCTGCTATTTAAATCACCCTCACTTGTGTC